TTTAGGGTCGTCAACCCATCAGGGTCCCCCTGTGTGTAAACTCTGATTGACAGTGTTCCAAAAAAAAAAGCCTGAAATGTCAGTGCTGCGTTTGTAAAAAGCCTGATGCATCAGTGTAGCACTAGTAAAAAGGCTGTCACTAACGCGTCGCATGTGATGGCAACGGGGCAGGATCCTTGGCAGCCCCCCAGCACCACATGGTGGCCACGTTCGGATTGGCCAAGACTGACTGCTGCAGCGAAACGGCCCAATGGTGTGAGGCGCCACGCCAACAAAACACCTCTGAACGTGAACCAGAGGCAGAATTTCACAGGTTGGCCTCGCCACGGGGTGCTTACACCTCGGGAATCTGAGATTCCCTGTAATTGCGGTCAAATCCACATGGCACAGGAAAGAATCGCTTTAATGTTGGTTTCGTTACAACGTTGTGGCATCAGTGTCCTAGGGGAAAAAAGTCTGAAATTTCAGTGTGGCCTAACAAAAAAGGCTGAAAGATCAGTCCCTCAAAAATCTCAACACTGACTTTTCAGGGTAGGTAAAAAAGGGACTGCCAAAATCAGGAATTTCAGGGTTTTTTTCCTGATATCTGAGGCCCTGTTTACACGGTACAAGCTTACATTTTGTACCGGCATCTCCCTAATGACAGGGCTAGGGACTTGACAAGATAACAAGTATTGTTCAACAGCTGCAGGAGCATTGTTCAACACAGCTGTCCTGAGACTTTACCCATACATTCAAATAGTACTTTGAAATCGAAATACACCCGTGACTGTGTCGAATTAGTGGGTGTTTGTCAAAGGAGAAAAGAATGACATGGTACACAGCATCACATTCACAATCCTCTACTACCTACACTGGAGCTTGCACTCCGTACGTAAATACATATCACTAGGGTTTATCTACATGACGATCTCAGGCTTGAGGATGTTGGCCTTGATCTCCTTGTGCGGCAGCACCACGCCCCCATTGGCGTACACCTCGTCCTGAATGTGCACATCCTCGCCCAGCACTGTCATGTTCTCCAGCCGCGCCCACTGCCCCACTTTTGAATGCCAACTGCAGGGGTTGTAAGGAATGCATGGGGTTGAGGGTGAGGATGAGAATGAGAGTGCAGCAGGTATGGAATGCGAAGTTGGGGAGAGACAGCAATGTGCCATGTGCAGGTGCGCTCTTGGCTTCACGCGTGCACACATCCACAGCATCACAAACCCATGTCAGCAATTGCCCCATCCACACCATTTCCCCAACACCAACCCACCAGCACTCCCCCAGCGCAAGCACTTGGCCACACCAGCAGAACCCAGCAGAACCCCAAAGCCACCACACCACCAGCAGCAAAGGGCTCAGACACGACCCAACAGAAGTAGGAGCGAGCAGGAGGAGCAAGGGGGGCAGGGAGGCTCACCCGACGATGCTGCCGGTGACGCAGGCGTGCTTGCTGATGCGCACGCCGCGCATGATGGTGCAGCGCGCCAGCCGCACCCCATCTGCGATCACACAGCCCGGGCCAATGGACACGTCGGGGCCGATCAGACACCCCTCGCCGATGGTGGCCGTTGGGTCCACCAACACGTTGCCCACTATGTGCTTCCCCGTTGCTAGCTTCTCGGGGCTGGGAGGCAGGGTTGGAGGGAGGGAGGGAGGGTAGGAGGGAGGGAGGGTGGGAGGAGGGATGCAGTTGTGAGAGGCAAGCAACTGCAAGGTAGGCAGAGTGCTCTCGGCCAGCCATCAAGTGCTGTGTGCGCCCTGCACCATGCGCGGAGAGGGCCAAAGGGCCGCGTATGCACCATACGGCTATCTGCAGCTCCCATAGCTCCGCACCTGGCCCCACGGGCCGTGCCTAGGTCTGCTGCACACTGTCGCGGGCAGACATCCGCCTAGAGATACCCCCCAAGTGGACCAGCGGCTTTCGGTCCAATTACGCATGCCAGGCTGGCACGGAAGCGGTACGCAGTGCGGTAAGGGGTAAGGGGCAATGGGGGTGTGGGTGAAAGGCCATCCGACAATGGCATCAACGCGGGGTTGTCTTTGGACAGTGGCATGCTGCGTCTGTTAGGTTAATGCCTTGCCAACGGCACAGGACATCGAGACTACCTGTTGATGACGGCGCAAAAACTCGACTTCATCCCGCATATGCCACTGGCGCCACCCGCCGTTGCACCCACCCGCCATGAACCCCCGCGCTCTCAATTTTAAGGCCGTGCACGGGCGGGCACTCACTGGTTTTGGCGCAGCGACTCGAGGTAGAGACGCAACCCGCTGTTGTAATCGCGCGGCTGGCCGACGTCCATCCAGAAGCCCGGCAGCACCATGGCGAACAGCTTGCTCTCCGCCGCGATCTTGGGGAACACCTCCTTCTCGATGGACGTGGGGCGCAGCTCGATGCGGTCCAGCACGCGCGCGTCAAGCAGGTAGATGCCCGCGTTGATCTTGTTGCCCACGAACACCTTTGGCTTCTCCACGAACCGCTGCACGCATGATGTGGCCTCGTCCACCACCACCACTCCGTACTTGGACGGCTCCTCCACCTGCAAGCGGGGATAAGTGGGGAGGAGGGGGTTGGGGAAACGGGGAAGGTTCAGGAGGAAGGGGACGCAGTGGAAGGGGAAGAAAAGGTGAGTGAGTGGTGCAGCAGGAAAGAGAGGATTTGAAAAGGAAATTGGGGTCTGGAAGAGAGGCGAACAGCGGCATCTAATTTGGGGCAATTCGGGGAAGATTTGTGAGATCTGATGTAACTAGTTCGTTCGCTAGCATCGTAGCACGGTGTTTTTCATACGACCAGCGCGCCGTGCGCAGCGACTGACCTTGGTGACCATGATGGTGCACTCGCCGCCGTGCTTCTTGTGGAAGTCGAGCATCTGCGAGAGCGGGTACTCGCTGATGACGTCACTGTTGAGCACGAAGAAAGGGTCGCCCGACCCGTCGTCGAGGATGTGTCTGGCGAGCGCGAGCGGGCCCGCCGTGCCCATCGGCTCCTTCTCCTGCGAGCACACGATGCGGATGCCCACCTTCGCCTCGTACTCCTTGATGAACGTCATCATCACCTGCCACGTCATGTGCGCATCGCGTGCGGATCGTGCGCGACGCGGGGGAGGTGCGGGAGGATGAACATCAAATTTTGAGTGGGATGATGCTTTTATTTGCAAGAACAGAAATTGGTGAGTTTCGGTATGTTCAGTTGTGACCTGTTCTGTTGAGCGGATTCGCGAAGGATCTACGAGGGAGATGGCGAGGGAGCGGCGGCGTACCTCGGGTTGGTAGTTGATGGCGAGAACGACCTCGTCCACTCCCGCGGCCTTGAGCGCCTCGATCTGGTGGAGGATCATGGGCTTGTTCGCGAAGTCGACCAGCGGCTTGGGTACGCTGAGGGTTAGCGGCCGCAGCCGCGTGCCGAAGCCGCCAACGAGAATGAGAGCCTTCATGTTGGCGGACTGCTGTCTTGTGGCAGGATACTCGCGGTGCGCGGCGATACAATCGCAGTTGCGGGGAAGGAAGGGAGCAAGAGGGGGAAACTACGGCGCTGATGAGCAAAAGAAAACTGCGATTGGGCTAAGAAAAAGAATTTCAAGGACAGGTTTGTGAGAACTGTGAGGTTGTGAGGTGGATAAGTAGTGATCGGAGGAACTAACTACGCTGGTGTAATCCCAACTAACGGACGGTCGGCTGTGAGGCTATTCTTGACGAGAAAGATGCTTCAATCGCGGATGAACGGTTGTTGTCCCGCTGCTGCTTCTCCAGGGGGCTAGCGAAGCAAAGAACCAACGTCGCGGACCATTCCATTGCCACGTGCGATCATTCTAATCCCGCTGGCCACGGGTTGAGCAGGGCAATGCTGAGCTGATGTCATCAGAGTCCAGGTGGCCACCAGCACCTGGAACTACACCACAAGATGTTCTCTCCGTAGGCTGCTGTTGATTGGCGGAACTAGCGTAGGCCGAGAGTAGTTGGGGAGCAGACGTGGCCGCTGCGCGTCCAGGTGTTGACGGTCGTAACTGTTTCAACTGTGTGTTCCGTCAACAATGCGGTGCGGTTCAGGTAACACAACGCACCTGCGGCTTGGTTTCGGGAGAATATACCCACTTCATTTTGTACGCTACATGGAGCGAAGGCGTTTGTGGAGCTAGAAGACGTTTTATTGTATAGGAGATGTTCATACAAACTACCAAGATGTATCTAAATATACTTTAGCGAGATGTGACTACATGAGGGTTCAGCAGCCTGCTTTGCCGTACCTGTCGCCGTGGTTGGGGAATTCGGTGCGCCGTGTGGCATGGAGTTTCCAAGGGCGACGCGACACGGTGAAGTATTTGTTAATGATTTTACAGTATTCTTACCCGTACTTTCGGTCAGCACATAACAGCTACCATTAGTTACATAAACGGCTCGAAAGACTCGGCCCCGCCCTGAAGAAAGCATCCAATCCAACCCCGCATACATGTGATGGGTATGTGAATTCAAGCTAATTTCTTGACAATGCAGCTCCCTTGTACTTGCCTCCCACTGGGAACGGGTTGGACGTCATCTTTCAAACAACCAGGAGAGACTAGACCGCGCCTGTAGTCTCGCAAGCTTTGCTTGCACTAGTTCCGATACTACCGACAATTCGCTTTACATGACGTTCATGTACATCCAGTTGCGCTCGTTCTAACTCAAATTCCGCAACATCAGCTAAGAAATGACGCACCCTCGATCAAGCAGCCAATTCAAGCGAGTAGCCTATTCGTCCTAAATTCACGTGGACTGACTAGCTCTTGTCGCTGCTCTCGAGTCTTAGCTTCCATCAGTTCGCCTCAGCTCGTCTATCCATGGCGTCCCTACCCCGCCACGTCCGCCTCTTCCTCCTCCCGCTCCTCCTTTCCTTCGCATCCCCTTCCCTCCCACACCCCTCCTCTCTCCCACATTCGCCGTCGTCGTCCGACCCATGGCGCACCCCTCGTCGCCGCGCGACTCTTAACGACGACGTGCGACGGTCTGCGATTCAGAGCGAGTACCCGAATCTCATGAAGTCGGCGACAGCGTCGTACCCCAACAGCGTCGTCGGTCCCTACGACTGGACGTACTTCCCTGGTACGCCGCTACGACTGACTGTACTGCCGTTATTACAACAGGGATTCAAATCTGCGCATCCGTTATTACTAGACGGGCTGCTGACCTGGATGGATGCTCTGTGCTGCCGCTGGTGCCCCATCCCATCGTCCCTCTGCCCACATCCCTAGGCCTCTCTTCCCCCATCCCCCCTCCCCATTTCCCCCTCCCGTTCCCTCCCCTCTCTCCCCCGCCCCCTCCCCATCCCTCTCCTCCAAACTCGCAATCGCCTTGCGCCGTGCGGGGAGCAGCGGAGGTGCCGGAGGGCGCGCTGATCGTGAGGTTCGAGTTCCGCAAGCTGTGGGCATCACAAGCGGTAAGCTGGGGGCCGTGCAGAGGGTAAGCTGGGGGCCGCGCAGAGGGTAAGCTGGGGGCCGCGCAGAGGGTAAGCTGGGGGGCGCGCAGAGGGTAAGCTGGGGGCCGCGCAGAGGGTAAGCTGGGGGCCGTGCAGAGGGTAAGCTGGGGGGGGCGCAGAGGGTAAGCTGGGGGCCGCGCAGAGGGTAAGCTGGGGGCCGCGCAGAGGGTAAGCTGGGGGGCGCGCAGAGGGTAAGCTGGGGGCCGCGCAGAGGGTAAGCTGGGGGCCGCGCAGAGGGTAAGCTGGGGGCCGCGCAGAGGGTAAGCTGGGGGCCGCTTTCCCCTGTTTCTCCAATTCCGCTTCACTGATTCGTTTCCCCTCGCCAACACTCTCTCTCGCACCACCTCCTTGATCCCACCTCGGTTTTGTACACCCCTCTCCCCTCGTCCCCCCATCTCCTCCCCTTCCCCTCCCATCTCGCCCACCACGCCCATCCACCAGGACGAGGCGCCTGCAGGCGGCGCAAGCAGCAGCACAGACGCAGCGTGGGAGTCACAACAAGCAGGCAGAAACAGCAGCGCGGAGGCAGGGGCAGGGGCAGCGGCATCGGGTGGTCCGCTGGTGTGCTTCGCGCTGGGCTCACTGCCTCTGCCGTCGGACCACGAGCCACAATGTGCTGTGCTGCCCCTCCGCACACCTGCCCCCTGCCCCCTGCTGCCTGCCGCCCGCCGCCTGCCGCTTGCTAGCTGCTACAGATTCCTCTCGCTACAGCTGCCACTGCTCTCCCCTCACGCGCCCACACGCTCTCTGGATCCAGCAGGCGGCACACATTGCCCCCTCCATTGCACTTCGCTCTGTCTCTTCCCCCCCAGCGCCATCCCCTCGCTCCTCCCTCTCACACCCTCCTGCAACGCAATTCTCCATCTGTCAATCCCTTGCTCCATGCATCCCTTTTCGCCAATGTCGTTGTGACATCCTCCTCCTCACAGAAACATTTGTCACGTTCTGGATGCCCCGCTCTGCCCCATCTCTCTCTTGTGCGCTCACTTGTCATTCTTACTGCCAGTCTGCGTCTGCTTAATCCCTCCCACTTTCTCCCCAACCCTATGCTCCGCCTCCCAACCCCCCCATCTCCCCCTCCCCACTCCCCTCTTTGCTGCAGACGAGTCACTGGAGGCAGCAGCCAAGGCGGCGGGGGGAGCGCTTTCCCCCTTTGGGGGGGCCATGGGCGCAGTCACAGTGGAGCGCGGGCAGGGGCAGGGGGATGGCCCGGGGGCAGGGGGAGGCGCAGGGGCGGGGAAGGGTGGGGGAGGGGCGATGGTAGACGCTTCTGCTGCAGCTGCAATCGCGGTTATGGTGGGGGAAGGGTGGGGGGGCGGCGGTGGTAAAGGGAATGGCACAGTGGGGGAAGGCGGGTCCGGGTTGGGGGGTAGGAGTGGGGGAGGGGCGGGGCAGTCGCACTGCGCCTTGTTCCATTCCACCGCCGTCTTCAGCCTTCCCGCCGACCAGGTGAGGGCGTGAGGCCAGGGCAGGGCATGAGGCAAGAGGGCAGGCTGGGAGGCGGCAGGGCGTTGGGAATGGGAGCGGTGGTCGGATGCATGCGAGCCATGTATGTAGTGCCCTCTCATGTACCTTGGTCCTTGGATGGGCTGTGTTGTGCACCTTCTCTGCATTTCCCTTCCTTTCGCAACCCACCTCCTCACCCTTTACCATCCCTCCCAGTATTCTTCTCATCCCGCTCTCCCGCCCATCCCTCCCATCTCTCCCATCCCCATCTCCCTCACCCCTCCCGTCCCACATGCCCGCAGCAACCGGTAGCAGGCACGTGGAACGTGGGGGTGTTCAGCGAGTGGGGGCCGGCGCGCACGCAGTCCAAGATGGTGCTGCGGGGCACGGCGCACACCTTCGACCTCACCCTCACCACCTTCTCCTGCTTCAACGCCCCGCTGCTCTCCGGCCGCTTCTGCAACGACTCGCGCACCCCGCTGCCCCTGCACCCCCTCTCCTCCCACACGTTTCTCCCTCCTCGCCCTCCTGTGACACCGCCAGAAGCCAATGCTTCGACTGGAAACGACTCTTCTTCCTCTTCCGACTCTTCCTCCTCCTCCTCCTCCTCCTCCTCCTCCTCCTCCTCCTCCTCCTCCTCCTCCTCCTCCTCCTCCTCCTCCTCCTCCTCCTCCTCCTCCTCCTCCTCCTCCTCCCCCTCCCCCTCCCCCTCCCCCTCCCCCTCCACCTCCCCCTCCCCCTCGCCATCCCCCCCCTCCCCCTCCCCATCCCCCTCCGACCCCTCGTCCCGCCATCACGATGCATTCACAGCACCGGGAATGGACGCCCTGTACGGGGGCTCTCTCACTCACCAGTGCGTGCGCGCCTCCTCTCCCCCGCTCCTCTTCACCCTCGCCATCCCCCAGCCGCTGCCCAAGCTCCTCATCTCCATCTACCCCGAACCCTCCTCCTCCTCTGCCTCCTCAACCTCCCCCCTCCCGTCGTGGCTCACGGGTCACGCCCGCTCCGCCAACGCCTCTCCCTCCGTGCAGCTGCGCCGCATGGCTCTCCTCGGCCCGTCCAATCGCGGCGCGCCAGCTGGACCCTCCTTTTCCGTGCAGCCGCGTTTAGAGACCGAGGAGCAAGCAGGCAGCAGCAACAGCGGTGGTGTCAGGGGTAGTGGAGGGCAGGGGGAGAGGGGGGGAGCGGAGGGGGTGGCGGGGGTGGACGTGTGGTGGAGCGAGGGGCGCATGGACATTGGCAGCTGGCAGGCCGTGGCTGACCCGGGCTCCTGGCACCTGCTGCTCTCCCACCCTGCCAGCACCGCTGCGCGGAGTGGGTCCGGTAATGGCAGCGCGATTAGCAACAGCAGCAGCATTGGTGTCAACGGTAGTGCCAGTGTTGGCAGTGGTAACAGTGGTGGTAGTGGCAGCGGTGGTCGAGAGGGGGGGGGTGGTGGGTGGTGGGCGTCGCTGTGGGGGGGGTCGTGGGCGCACGGGCAGCAGGGGGGGGCTGCGGATGAGGGAGAGGGGGGCGGAGAGGTGTGTGTGAGCATCCAATGGAAGGCTGCCACGTGTTTCCCCCGCCTCACTGGGCCTCAGTGCCAGTGGCCGCTCATTCCCCTCGAGGTGAGGCGAGAGGCGAGTGAGAGGTAGGAGAGGGAGAGGGGAGGGACAGAGGACATGTGAGGAGGGCTGGTGGGTGAGTGAAGGGTGGAAGGGATTTGAAAGCAATGCAGGAGCCTGCTCCTTTCACACCGAATGCAGTGCGGTGCAGTGCGGTGAGATGGATGGATGACTCGTATTGCATGCCTCTCACACCCAACATGCTCCTTCTACTCTTGTTAAACCTGTGCCCTTCCTCCCGCACCCCTCTCACCTCCCACCCCTCTCTTTGTGCCATCCTGCCCTCTGCCTCTCCCTCACACCCATCACCCCCGCACCCCCCCTCCCCACCCAACTTGGCCCATCACCCCTTCTGCATGCCCGTGCCCTTCCCACCATCCCACCAGCCGCACCTGCTCTCGTGGTCGTACGAGTCGGGTCTTGATGCAGCATACCTGCCCCCCGCCTCGCCCGCCCCGCCCTCCCTGTGGGCCTCGTGGTTCCCCGTGCCCCTGGCGGCCTCGCCCTCCCCGGCGCGCCCCACGTGGGCCTTCCTGTCGCTCGCGCCGCCCTTTGGTGCGCGCGGGGGCGTCCTCTCCATCCACCTGCGCCTCCTGCCCCTCCGACGGGGGGGAGGGGCGCAGGGGGATGGGGAGGGGCAAGGGGGAGTGGGGGAGAGTGGTGGCAGTGGTAGCAGCAGCAGCAACAGCAGTGCGGGGGGGTTGGCAGCAGGGGCATCAGGTGCAGCCCCGCGGGCGTTTGTGTATCTGCTCGTGCGTGCCGGTGGCCTGCCGTCCCTCACACGCTTTGATGCCTCCTCTGTCGCACCGGCCACTGATATGGGTGAGTGGGTGGGCGGGGGTTGTTGGGTGGGGAGGTGGGCGGGGTTGGGTGAGTGGGTGGGTGGGTGGGAGGGAGGGAGGGTGCTCCTGTCATGCCATCTGGTGTTCCTCTTCTCATCCCAGGACCATTCCACCTCCTACCCTCCTCTCTTTCCACCCCTCCCCATCCCCTCTTCCCCCGTTCCACCCTTGCACGGCTTCAGGCAACTCACCATTGCCCTCACCTTCTCTCATCCCTCATTCCTCCGCATCCCCCCCACCCTCTCCGCCCTCCCGTGCAGCGGCCAGGGGCGGGCAGCTATCACTGGAGCTGATCCACCCCGCGGAGGTCACCACCTTCGTGGCCGTGGGGCTGGACGCTGCCCCGCCAGGCACAAAGGGGGAGCGCGAGGGGGAGGGGGAGGGGCAGGAGGACGGGGGCGAGGGGGAGTGGGAGTGGGAGTGGGAGGTGCGGGTGGTGCAGCACGGCTGCCCCAACGGCTGCTCCGGCAGCCCCTGCCACGTCATGGCGGACGGCGCCTTCCAGTTCGGCGTCTAGTATGATGCCCCACCCTCTCCCTCCCTTCTCCCCTCACTCACATTCTCCCCGCCTCCTCTTGTTTCCACTCTCTCACTCACGCGCCTTGCTCGCCCTTTCACCCACAGCTGGCCAGAGTTTCACGTTTCAACACTGCTCTCGTTTGCGCCTCTGCTGGTTCGCAACTGCCCCCACCTACCCCTCCCCACCTACCCCTCCCCACAGCTACTGCTTCTGTGATAGATCGCACGGGGGTGTTGACTGCTCTATTGAGACCGTCTCACAGCTAGGTGCGTGCTGCTAGGTGTGTGCTGCGGGGTGGGTGCTGCAGGGTGGGTGCTGCAGGGTGGGTGCTGCAGGGTGGGTGCTGCAGGGTGGGTGCTGCAGGGTGGGTGCTGCAGGGTGGGTGCTGCAGGGTGGGTGCTGCAGGGTGGGGCAGCAACCAACACAGCTCCCTCTCTGAGACGCCTCACACATCACCGTCATGTGCTTTCTCCGCCATGTCCTCTCGTCTCTCTCACTTTCCCTGGCCTTCCTTCCTTGTGTCATTCATGAGTGATTCAAACTGAAATGGACCTGTCTAAAACTTCACATGCGCGTCGTTTCTATCTCTGATCATCTCCCTTGTTTTCTCTCGGCCTCTTCCATCCGCCCACGAACCGTCGCCCGTGCCCCACCGCCCGTGTGGCTGGCAGGCATAGAGCAGCAGCGCTGGGCGCTGGTGGGGAGCAACGTGGTGGCAGTGCTGCCAGCCATGGTCTCACTATACCTGGGGGTAAGGCATGGCATCGCTGTATTTGGGGGTAAGGCACTGCATGGTGGTTGCAGCCCGTGCTTGCTCACACCACTCTGCATCGCTCCGTCCCTCCTCACCATTGCATCGCATCCCCCTCATCCGCTCCCCCTCACCACACTCCCACGTCTCCCTCCCACTCTCACCCATGCACTGACGGACTCTCAACCAGGCATACCCCGAGTGGGTGATGTTCTCGCTCAACGGGCTCTGCAGCGCCCTCTACCACCTGTGCGACACGGACGGCTGGTGTGCCGCACGCTACCCCACGCTGCAGTTCGCCGACTTCTACTCGTCCTTCCTCGCCGTGCTGCTGGCCTTCCTGCACGCGGCACAAGTGCCCATCTGGCCGCGCTTCCTCTTCTTCGTCCTCGCCTCCTTCTCCACCTCTGTCATGGCTGTCGACCGCGCCACCAGGTGAGCCACCAGGTGAGCCGCCAGGTGAGCCGCCAGGTGAGCTCACAGGGCTTGGACGGCCAGCCCACCAGGTGTCCCACCAGGTAATGCGACCTCCCTCGTGGCCGTCGGACATGCCACCAGGTATGCGCCAGGGCCAATCCAGGTCAGGTGGGCCAGCAGGTGGGCCAGCAGGTGGGCCAGCAGATGGGTCAGCAGGTGGGTCAGCAGGTGGGTTAGCAGGTGGGTCAGCAGGTGGGTCAGCAGGTGGGTCAGCAGGTGGGTCAGCAGGTGGGTCAGCAGGTGGGTCAGCAGGTGGGTCAGCAGGTGGGTCAGCAGGTGGGTCAGCAGGTGGGTCAGCAGGTGGGTCAGCAGGTGGGTCAGCAGGTGGGTCAGCAGGTGAGCCAGTAGGTAATACGACCTCCCTTGTGGCCGACGACCGTGCCACCAGGTAATGCGTGGGCTTAGGTGAGCCAGCAGGTGAGCCAGCACGAGAGGGCTAAGCCAGCACATGAGTAGGAGCCACCCAAAGTGGGCCAGGAGGTGCGGTGGGGGGAGGTGGGGCTGTACGTGGCGTGCCTCAGGCCATGCCTCAGCTTGCTTCCTCCACTGCCTTCCACCCTGCCCGCCCTCTGCTCTCACTCTCACCCTCACCTGCATGAGAGGGATTCCTTCCTTTTCTTGCCCGGCTTGTTCCTTCCACGCGGCAACCTGGCTCTTTCTCATCCGCTCCACATTCACTCTTACTTGCTTCACATTCTCGCTCTTCTGACTCAGATCTCATCCCTGTCTCCTGCACCATGCTACCTTCTCTTAGGCCTTTGACTTAATCTCCCCCGTGTGTGTCCCCGCCCCCCCCACCACCGGGAGCAGTGGGTGGAGCATCGTGGTGCTGCTGGCGCTGGGAGCAGCAGCTCTCATCACCGGCTGGTTCATCCGCCTCGCTGCTCTGCGCCGCTCCTCCTCCTCCTCCTCTGCCCCCCCTCGTGCCGCCCACGCCCCTGTGGAAGCGGCGGGGTGCACGGGCCAGTGCGGGAAAGAGGGCTCCCTGGAAGGCCACGCGGAAGAGGAGGACTCCTCTCTGCTGCCGCCCTCTTGCACGCGCGCTGAACCCAGCAGCTCCTGTGACTGTAGCAGCTGTGCTGGCAGCAGCAGCAGTGTTGCGGAGTGGTCATGTGGGGTTGAGAGGGCGAGTAGATCTCGGCAAAAGTCATCGATGTGGAGACGAGTGTTTAAATGGTGCGTGGGGTAATGATGTTGGCATATGAGGCATGTGTCTCAACATTACATCCTATGTCCCTTTTGCTGCCTCACCTGCTTCCACATCTGCCTTCCCCATCCACGCCGCGCCTCCCTCGCCCTCAGGCATCCCCCCCTCAACCCCCTTTCCCCCTTTCGTTCCAGTCCTGCCCCAATCAACCTGTGTCTGCCTCGTCCGTCTGCCCCACCCTACTCCCGCCCCACCAGGTGTGGCAGGCAGGTGGCAGTGGTGCTGCGCGTGGTGCTCGCGCTGCTGGCGACGTTCCACGTGCCGTCGCTGCTGCTGGGCGCACTGGCGGCGCTGCTGGGCGGCAGCAGCTTCCTTGTGGAGGTGCCCGCCACCTACTGGATCTGGCACAGGTGGGAGGGGAGGGCGGAAAGGGGGGAGCATGGATGGGGGATGAGGATGGACCTGGCACAGGTGGGGGTAGACGGAAGAGGAGGCGGTTAAGAGGGTGGGGGGAAGCATGGAGCATGTGTGGGTGGCACGTGTGTGAGCGTGTGTGTGTGTGCGCGCGTGCGCGTGCGCGCGTGTGCGTGTGCGAGTGTGTGCGTGCGTGATGGGAGGAAGGAGTGGTTCGCTCGCCTGTTTTCAATACGTCTGTGAATAGCGATTGCTGCTGCTTTTCTCCATTGTGGCTACAGCAGTCCGGCCTTTCTCAACAACGTTTCTCTGCTCTCTTCCCTGCCCTCACTCACTTTCACTCAACCCATGGGTGACGTATTCCCTCTCGCCATCCTGCTCTTCTCACATGTCTCTCCGTGGTCACGGCAGTGTGTGGCATGTCTGCATGTACTCAGCTGCTTTCTTCTTCATGCTCGCCTCGCCACCGCCCAACAAGCACGGCGCCTTGCCGCTTGCTCTATCTCCCCACGCGCCGCCACCAAAAGGGCATGACTCGTTCCACACAGGCAGCCACAGCAACGCCGTGGGTAGATCTGGCAGCAGCAGCGGCGATGGCTGTAGCGAAGGTGGGTGGAGCCAGGGGAAGAGAGCCACTGGCTGCTCCGTTGGGCGAGAAGTGGAAGTGGATGAGGAGAGAGGTCTCTTGTTGATTCGTGAACATTCGTAACTCCAGACCAAATCACATACGTATCTGACCGTACGCAGCCTTATAGTAGACCCCGGGTGGAGAATCGCAAATAAATGGGGGTTGGGGCCCATGTGCTGAACGCAAGTATATGTATATTATTCTTATGAACCGCAAATAAATGGGGGTGGGGGCCCACTTGCTGAATTTTATTGATGAAGGTTATTCTTATGAATGGAATGCAGCGAAACCTGCCCGGACAAGGGTTCAGTGATAAGTTCATACATTTGTTTGGGCCTTGAGTTGAGTCCCTGCTACTGAATTGTAAATATGTCTTTTCCAGCACTTCGTTCGCCTCTGGAACTACCGGTACTGCATGTGACTGAAATGCGTTGGGCGCCTCAACCAAGCCTCGTTATCGTTCAAAAAACCTTTCTTGTCATTGTCTTACTACAACCCGTGCCTTTGGCCCAACACCTAAGAGCTGCGAGCAGTATTTCACGGAGAAGAATGAGCATCTCTCTACCGTGACACGCGGTTCTTGAATGCACGCCATGAGGTGGAAGCCCAGCTGGTGCAGGGCGGTGATGGTGGCATTGCGGTCCAGTGGCGGCACTGAATCTGGGAAGGCCAGCAGCAGCTGGCAGGTGGGCAGTGAGGCGTTTTGCTTCTGCCAGTTGAAGATGAGCGGCAGGTCCGCGCCTGTGAGTGAGAGCTGTAGATAGCAGCGGGTGCGTGGGGGATGTGGGATGGGGTGGGATGAAGACGCGAAGGGAACGGTGGGAGTAGGACAAAGGCAAGGAGAGTGTGGAAGGCAGGGGAGAAGGAGAAGGAGAAGGAGGAGGAGTGGGGATGCATTTCAAGAGTGAGAGGGAAAGAGGGGGGTTGAGGGCATCAGTAGTCGTACAGGCACAGGCATGCGAGTGCATGATAGATGACGAGCTGTGACGAGTGCACGGCACCCATGGGGCACAAGAGCAAGGAATGGCACGGGACAGCAAGGAATGGCACGGGACAGCAAGGAAGAGCGTGGAAAGCAGAGCAGCAGCGGTGGGCACCTTGAGTGTGTGGGCGGTGGAGGAGGCATGTGTAGAGCCAGCAGGGAGTGCGGTGACCTGCAGGCCAGGTGAGTGGCGCCGCATGCTCCACTCCCACGAGCCCTTTGCATGCGCGGCTCTTGGAGTGGTTGTCATGACCAGGCTGGCGGGCAGTGTGGGGTAAGAGCAGGCACAGGCACGGGTGAGGGCGACTTGCAGAGGGGCAGGAGCGGGCCCACGGAGAGAAAGACCACAGTGGTTGGCACTGGCGACTGTGAGGAGAGCATGCGCTGGGGGGGAGTGCGTGAATGCAGTGTGCAGGGCGTGTATGAGTGCATGAGTGCAGAGTGCAGCGTGCAGGGAGTGCATGAGTGCATGAGTGCAGCGTGCACCTGGTGCGGTTGACCCCGTGCAGCGCCGTGTAGAAGCACTGGCCAGGCGGCCCCAGCAGGAGCAGCTCCCCCAGCTGCGACCGGAAGCACAGCACCGCCTCTGCTGGCGCCTGCCACTCCTCCGCATGCCGCCGCAGCTGGGGGGGGCATTGGGAGATGGGGAGGGAAGGGAGAGAGAGAGAGGCGGATGAGAGGCGGCACTGGGCATGAATGCCAACCAGAGCAGAGGAGCATGCAGACAACAAAAGCATGCAGTGACAGGTGCTTAACGAGGCGAGTGCGGTCACCGCACGCATTCCCCGTGCCTTCCTGAAGTTCCGTGCGCAGCCCTGAAGGGTGCCGTGCATGATGGAGTGGCGCTCCCTTGCCAGGCGCGGCACGTCACGAGTGCCATCACCCCGCGTACTGCCGCCTACCTTCCTGAAGTTCCGTGCGCAGCCCTGAAGGGTGCCGTGCATGATGGACCGTCGCTCCCTAGCCAGGCGCGGCCCGGCAGCGGCGTCAAACAGGGCGGCCGCCACGTGGGGGGCGGGCCACGGCTTGGCGGCATCGCACAGCGCAAAGTCGGTGCGGTTGGCGAATGATGGCGAGCGGTGCGGTCCAAAGCGCGAGCCCTCCAGGTACCACCGCCGGATGCGGAGATTGGCCTGCCGCATGGAGGCATGCAGTGAAGTGCAGTGATGCAGTGATGCAGAGTTAGGTGCGGGAGAGCAGATGGCATAGTGCCTTAAGAGGCACACCAGGAATGTGCATGTGCATGTGCATGTGCATGTGCATGTAAATGGCTGCTTGCCCCATGCACCAAGCCCCCTGCTACGCCCTCGTGGCAGCGGGCTCACCTCAGCCCCTTTGATCTTGGGGTAGCAGGGGCGGCACTTGGCGCCGTTGAGGGGCGTGGACGTGTTGAGGGAGAGCACGGGCATGGAGTGGTGGCGGTACACGCGCCGGCTCACCACACAGAACGCCAGGTCCGCGCGCGCCACTGCCACCCCTGCCAGCGCCAGCTGCGTCTTGAACGCCTGCTCTGAGTTCAGCCCTGTTGGTACCCTGGTGGGCGCATGGCGGGGGGCAGGGGGAGGCACACGGAGCAGCGTTGTTCACACAGCATCACTCCCCATTCCTATACCCACCCTGCTCTTGCTACCCACCTACCCACCCACCCACCCACCCAAACACCCACCCAACCACCCACCCACAAACCCACCCACCCGCCCACCCACCCACCCACCCACCCACCCACCAGCCCGCCCGCCCGCCCGCCCGCCCGCCCGCCCGCCCACCCACCCACCCACCCACCCGCCCGCCCGCCCGCCCGCCCACCCACCCACCCACCCACCCACCCGCCCTGCCCCGCGGTACCACCTACTCCACGGGGATGGCATGCGAGTTGCTCGCCTCCTGCCCCAGCCCGCCCACGCCCTGCATGGAAAACTGCCGAAACGCGCCGCCCGCAGCGATGGCGGGCAGCATGGAGAGGCGGGAGAGTGCGGGCAGGGCGGTGTGCCACGTGCCGAGGCCAAAGCGGTCGTTCAAGCCGAAGCAATCGGAGCCGAAGCGGATGGTGTAGGCGTGCGGGGTGAAGGCAGAGAGGGGTGGCAGGGGGCGGTGCCAGAAGGTGTCGACTCGCGTGCGCAGCAGCCAGTCGAAGGTGATGGCGTGGCGGCGCTCGTAGGCGCGGATGAGGGGGATGCACCCCTCCACCAGACGGAAGTACTGCAGCATGCCCTGAGAGGGGGAGGCCGTGCAGTGCAGTGCACGGGGTGGGAGGGGTTGCGCGGGTGAGATTGTGGGTGGGCAGGATGGTTGCACGGCATGTTGCTTGCATGCACGCACGCGAGCATGCAAGTGTATGCCGCCAAACGGTTAGTGCACTCTGCTCCCCGCCCACCTGTGTGCCATGCGGTGAGGAGGGGTCCTCCACGAGGCCGGGCGGCAGGGCGCTCTCATTCACCCACGTGCTGGGGAACACGCGCACTGCCCCCACAGTTATGCCGCGCCGCGCGGCCCAGAGTAGCGGCCAGAGCTTGAAGGAGGCGTGGTCGAGGGGCGCGTGCAGGAAGAGCACGGGGCGGTGCGGCAGCAGCGGCAGCAGCAGGCGCTGCACTATGGACGGGCCCGTGAGCTCAAAGTCGCGCACGCCGCCCACCAGACACACCGCCACCCGCCACAGGTGGGCCGGCTTGGATGCCACCTGCAGGGAGGGAAGGGGCAGCGCTGTGGGTGATGTGAGGGAAGGAGCGGGGGGGGATTTGAAGAAAAGCAGAGGAGAGGAGGCATGGTGTGGTGCAGTGAGTGAGTGAGTGCGTGCGTGCGTTGCTTCACCTGCTCCCCCACGTGCTCGTTCCCTCTCCACGCGTCAGCCCCTCCCATCTCACCCTGCTGCGCCGCACCATCATCAGGGACAGCAGCAGCAGGAGGGATGTCGAACAGCACGTCTTCATCGCTGCCTGCATCACCTGCTTCCCCCAACGCTGCTGCTACCTCCACACTCTCCCTCGCCTCCCTCCACCCACCCCCCGCTGTGCTGCCCTCCGGCCCTGCATCACTCTCCCCCTCCTCCCACGCACCACCTGCCTCATTGCCCTCCGTACCCTCTCCCCCATCCGTCTCCTCCTCTCCCTCCCCCTCCTCCGTCTCCTCTGCCCCGCCCTCTTCCTCCAAAGCTGACCCCTCTGAACCACCTGCATTGCCATCATCACGCAGCCCATCCCCCTCCTCCCCCACCGCTCTCTCTGCCTCACCCTGCCCCTCCACCTCGTTTCCCCCCTCATCCCCCTTGCCCTCCGCCTGACCCAGTTCCCCCTTGCCCTCCGCCTGACCCAGTTCCCCCTTGCCCTCCGCCTGACCCAGTTCCCCCTTGCCCTCCGCCTGCCCCAATGCCCCATCACCCGCCTCACCTCCCTCGCCCACTACCGCCGCCGCCAGCAGCCGTCTGCCTGCTGGGAGCTCGCCCCCCGCCTCTGCCTCTCCTCTCCTCATCCCTCCGCCCCTCACTCCCCCCGCTCCACCCTCGCCACTCGCCGCCTCTTCCCCAATTCTTCCCCCGTCGCCCCTCCCCCACACCCCTTCTTGCGCGCCCGCTGCTCTCCTCCGCCAGTGTGCTTCCCCATCCGCGCTCCCCCCCGCCGCGTCCGGCGCCCATGGGGGCGGAAGGGCCTCCCGTGGCTGCTGCGGATATGGGTGGTGGGAGGGAGGGGGAGAGGGGTGTGTGGTGGGGCTGAGTGGGAGAAGGTGGGACGCGAGAAGCACGGGGGAAGTGGATAGGAAGGGCGAGGTGGATGCGAGAAGGTGGATGGAACGGGCGACGTGGATGCGAGAAAGAGCGCCGGGAGGAGGCAAGGCAATTGACGGCACGCGCGGGAGCAGCAAGAGAGGCAGGAGGGTAAGGGAGGAACGGGAGCAAGGGCACCTGAGAGAAAGGCGAGTGGAGCGCGAGGGCGGCCACGAGGCACGCAGCCCACGCTGCGACCAGCACTGCCGACCTCGAGAGGGGCGATCCGCGCTCGATTCTCATCGCGGCGCGAGCCCCGCGACGTTACGAGGAAATTCGCATCGCGGCACGAGCCTTTGGCGTGTCATGTGGCATGGAGTGGTAAATGTGCGGCGGCGCGCCGCAAGGTGCGGCAAGGCGAGTCCTCAGCCAGCTCGATCAGCAAAACGCGACTCCGGGGAAACGGCAGTGGCAGGGAGGGGAAGCGTGGGTGACGCGGACGGCGATTCGAGAGGAAAGAGAGGACGGTGGCGGGAGGACGCGAGGCCACATGGGAAGCGACGGCGACGGGGAAGGGACGCGAGGGCTATAAGAAAACGGCTGGCGAATGCATTTTTTTGTGACGGGGAAATGCGACGGGTCGCAAGCATTAGTGTTCGCGTTCTGTGTATGACATGATGCTCGCCGCAGTCCGCTTCACATTTGAGCAGTCGCAAGTTCTAAACCCGAAATCCTGATCCCCCGAGATTCATGACACCAATATCCACTCCCAACTATGTAGCTACCCCGCGCCGACTCAATACTAGGCGGAAATTGTTACGTCTCGATACTAGGCGTAGATTGAGGCGGCTTGCACCAAATTGTTAGGACGCGGTAAAAGTAGACGATCGATCGTCGTTCGCGATCGATGTGCGGATCAGTTACCCTGTTTACTAGCGTGTAACCATGCTACAGTAAGTTTTTTGTCAATAAATAGTGCACAGTAAGGGAATGCGACTGATCACTGATTGCTGGAGATCAACCCCAAACATATTGGCGATCGTTACAATGGCGTTTGCGCATCGTTTCGCCAACCGATCCGCTAAATCGATCGTGCGACTCGATATTCGGGCAGATTCTGCGATATTCGCACTTTCACCGCGTCCTTACGGCGTGTTGCAATTGCCGGTGCACTGCATCGGCTCGGGACGATTGGAAGGCTCCAGGCAGGCGGGAGACCAGACCTGGGCAAATAAAAATTTCAAGATAATGATTTAAAGAGTTATTTGCCAATATTATATTGGGGACATAGACTGTTTTTGCGCGTTTCATGTAGAAAATTTACGGCCTCTTGCTTTCCTGGGGCCTTCTAATCCCGCGCACCGAGCCGAGCCGATGCAGTGCACCGCGAATTGCAACACGCCGTTTGTTAATACCGTGTAAGGAATTTTCCATCATTCCTTACCTCGCACATCAACATCGCGTACAGGACCAACTGTTTCTTCGCCCGTTATTGCTAACGGTGTTTTGCCGCCTTTGCGCGTCACAATTCCAAACCATGCATCGCTGGACTTGCCCGAGTCAGCCTACGCTTCGGGGCTAGCTCGAACCTCGCTGTCAGCATCGCACTAGCTAGTCGCACGCACCGCGTTGCCGTTTGCATGTTTCGCTATATATGTTCGCTCATGCCTTCGCTCACATCTTATATTCGTTTGCCAACTTAGGGTACAGACCTGTATAAACACAAATGTCTCAATGCCTAATTTTCCGAGTCGCGTCTGGAAATTTGCCCAACCCCGCGTCTCAAAATGTAAATGTACCTCGACACTGGGCGACCTGGCGACGTGTACAGTTGTTAGCGTCTCATTGGGTGAGCCATCATGGCGAGCGACTTGGCGTTTTGGCGCCGGGCAGGGACACAAAACATGTGTGCATAAATCGGATCCCTCGAACCGGGTCACTGTAACGGAACTTGTAAATGTTGCGTCCATAGCTGAAACATCAGATGGAGCTCTATCCACAACGATGCTCCATTCACATCGCAAGTACAAAACAACGCACGGCACACACATTTTCCCGTAGCTACCATGGCAGAGCCACGCGCCGTGCCATTTCTACTGCGTCAGCTGATCGCCTGGATCACGTTCTATTACTCCATATTCATGGGCGCGGTCGCAAACGCAGTCTTCACGAACAAGCCGTCTCCCACGAGCTCGGCCGGCTCCAACAGGACGGCTGTGCGGAAGAGACACCACCGTCTGCGCGCTTGTCGCTTCGAGCTGTGGCTTGAAGACCTGCAAGGCATGAGCGACGACGATTTCAGAGACATCTTCAGGATAAACCGACTAATCCTGGAATACATCACGGCGGGAATGCAATACTGCATGCAACCATATTTTGAGCTGAGCCACATTACACATGAGGTGGCTGTTCTGGTGGCCATCAAGTACCTAGCAATCGGCGTATCGTACGTAGACATGACTCACATGTTTGGTGTGCCGAAGACGCTGTATCATGCGCTCGTCGACGTCTTCTTGATGCACTTCCCGTCGGTCTTCAAGGGGGAGTGGGTGCACTTCTCAACCCGCGAGGTGCTGGACGAGATGGCCCCAAGGAGTTCCGCTCGGTCAAAGGTGTACCTGCTGTAGTGGGGGCTATTGATGAGACACACATACACATGAAGGGGATGGAGGGGCATTGCCAGGAGTACTATACGCGCAAGTCTGCGTATGCGTGCATTTGCAATTGACTTGTGACGCCACCGACATCATATGGAATTACCTTATTGGTTACCCAGGAAGTGCACACGATCAACGTGTATTCGTGAACAGTTCGTTACATGAAAGGTTGCTTAACGGAGCATAGCACCATATCAAATCATGGGAGACACTGCCTATCCGCTCAGAGATTTCTGCCTGACCCCACTACATGCTGTCAGAATGCTATAATTGTCTAGTCTGCAGTGGAGTACTCTATAGTGAGTACAGCCTAAATTAGGGTTTGCTATATGTATCCTATCTGCTGCTAGTGCAACTGTCAGATTTATATGACATAGCTACTGTAGGCTATAGTGGGGTAGCACATATGGGGTACACTTTTCTAGGGTTTGCTTTTGTACCCAACTTTCCCTTAGTCAATTCATTCCTCGTTATTTATCATGGTATAGAGCGGGTTCCCTCGTGGGAACGCTTCCTAGGGCCCACCAATCGAATTTTTTTTTTTCCTGCCCGGAGCGCGCTTCGCTCCTGCCCGAGTCGCGCCCCGCGTGCCCTCCCTACCGTCGCGCCCTCTCTAGGCCCCTTACGGCCCCCTCGCGTCGCCCTTAGCGGCCCCTCTGACGGCCCCTCGTGCCGCCATTACGGCCCCTCGCGCCGCCCTTCCGGCCCCTCGCGCCGCCCTTACGGCCCCCTACGGCCCGTAGCCGCCCTTCGCGGCCCCTCGCGTCGCCCTTCACGGCCCGTCGCCGCCCTCCGCGGCCACTCGCGGCCCCTTCGCGGCCGGTCGCCGCCCTCCGCGGCCACTCGCGGCCCCTTCACGGCCGGTCGCCGCCCTCCGCGGCCCCTCGCGCCGCCCTTCACGGCCCGTCGCCGCCCTCCGCGGCCACTCCCGGCCCCTTCACGGCCGGTCGCCGCCCTCTGCGGTCCCTCGTGCCGCCCTTCACGGCCCGTCCGCCGCCCTTCGCGGCCTCTCTCGGCCCGCCGTCGCCGCCTCTACAGCAGCAGCAGCTGCAGTCGCTACAGCGACCGCGGCCGCAGTCCCAGCAGCAGCAGCATCCGCCGCCCCTGCAGCAGCACCCGCCGCCACTGCAACCGCGGCCGCCGCCGTCCCTACAGGAGCGGCCGCCGCCGGCCCTGCAGCAGCAACTGCCGCCGCCGCTGCAGCAGCGGCCGCCGCCGTCCTGTGAGCAACAGCTGCCGCTGCCCCTGCAGCAGCCGAGCCGCCCGAGCCGCCGAACCGCCCGAGCCGCCCGAGCCGCCCGAGCCACCGAACCGCCCGAGCCGCCGAGCCGCCCGAGCCGCCCGAGCCGGCCGAGCCGCCCGAGTCGCCCGAGCCGCCGAGCCACCCGAGCCGCCGAGTCGCTGAGCTGCCGACCTGCTGGTGCTGCCGAGCCGCCGAGCCGCCGAGCCGTCCGAGCCGCCCTGTCCTCTACACTCGGTCCGTCTCGCCTGCCCGGTAAGAGCAGCACCTCTACTACTGCGCTGCCCTTAGCCTACTGCTCGTGCTGCTAGTCTACTGCTGTCATGGCTACCCCCAGTGTCCTCGCTTTTGACGCTGAGGGTCGGGCCATTGACTTTGACGTCTGGGTAGATGACCTGCAGCTCTTCCTACAGTGCGATAGGGCAGACTGTCTCTCCCTCTTTGATCTCACTTCTGGTGCCTCCCCTGCCCCCGCTGCTGATGCTGACGCCACTGTTCGCTCACAGTGGGCCACACGCGATGCTGCTGCACGTCTTGCTGTGCGTCGCCACTTGCCTACCTCTGAGCGTGCGCACTTTAGCCAGTACAAGAGTGCTCTCACCTTGTACGACGCTGTAGTTGCGCGCTACTCCTCCCCTGCCACTGCTGCACTGAGCCGCCTCATGCTACCGTACCTCTTCCCTGACCTTGCTGCCTTTCCCACAGTCGCTGACCTCATTACGCACCTCCGCACTAGTGACACTCGCTACCGCGCTGCGCTTCCTGCTGAGTTCTGCGCCAAGACCCCCCCCCCCCATGTACATCACCCTCTACTACATAGTCACCCGGCTCCCTGACTCCCTTCGCGTAGTCAGGGACCACTTCCTCTCAGTTTGCCCCACCACTCTCACCGTTGACCTCCTCGAGAAGGCCCTCCTAGCAGCAGAGAAGAGCATAGTCGCTGTAGGAGCCTCTCGTGGTGACCCTCGCACCCCCGTCTTTGAGGGGTGTTCCCCCTCCCCCCTTTTGCCCTCTGTTGCCTCTGCTGCTGCGGCCGACCTCGTTGGTTTCGAGTCGGTCGGCGCTGCGTCTGCCCCGAGCGGGAGACGCCGCACCGGCAAGGGCAAGGGGGGCAAGGGTGCTGGAGGGGCTGGCGGGGGTGGCGGAGGTGGCGGTGGCGGCAGTGGAGGGGGTGGGGGTGGTGGTGGGAGTGGTGGCGGGGGTGGAGGTGTCGGTGGCGGCAGTGGAGGCGGAGGCGGCGGCGGCGGTGGCGGTGGGAGCGGAGGTGGCGGAGGTGGCGGCGGTGGAGGAGGCGGCGGCGGAGGAGGTGGAGCTGGTCGGGGTGGCGCTGCACAGAGGGTCGGCTCCGGTGGTGGTCAGCGCCAGCAGCAGCAGCAGCAGCGGCAGCAGCGCACTCGTGACATCCC